AACTGGGCACTGCTGGGAAAGATTTTTTTTTTTAACTGATGCATATACTGCAGAGTGATAGAAATCTAGTGCCTGTGTGAAAAGAAGCACTAGAATCCAGACAATTTTATCTTTATTTTAAAAGGATGCTTCATTTCTCCAACTCTGATTTTAAAATAGTGAGTTGGGAAATAAGGTATTTCTTTCACCATGGTTTGACAGGTCTACATTTCCCTGCAGGGGTGAAGTTGGTTGGCCTGTATTTCTAGATCAGAGTTCCTTTGGGTGGGAGTTCACACTGAGTGGGCTTGTTCCCGGAGTCCACAAACAGACTGCAGTGAATCGCTGTGGACCAGGTGTTGGGAGGACACGTTGGGAGCTCTGTCTGGCCCTGAGCATAAATCTGCCATAGATCAGCTTGGGGCAGCCGCTTGTCTGAGACCTCGTTCCTCTCAGCCATACCAGGGAACGAGAACAAAGGAACAAGAAGGACAGACAATAAGAAAGGTAGAAGAAAGGGGAGGGAGGGCAAAAGGTGAGAAAGGAAACCAAAGAGGTGGAGTGGCCAGGAGAGCAGGCAGAGTGGGGGCCATGGGCACCCCTAGTGGTTTCCCAGAGTTGAGGGGCGGCAGGAGCAGCGGGGGGACACAGCTCCGCTGTCTTCCACAGCCGTCTCTGACAGCCTGCATCTACTGTCTCTGAATCTGCTCTCACCCCCTCACCATCCTTTATCTGGTTCAGAATTTGTGGGAGAGGTTGGGCTGCGGCTGCAGTGACGGTCAGGACCACGGACAGAGGCAAGGGCCGTCTGTCCGGGCATCCGCCCTGCCCCACATCACCAGGGCCCCACCCGTCCCCTCCCAGGTTATCCCCCAAGCATTAGCCAACTCAGCCTGTGAGACGCAGGAAATACTGGCAAGACCTCAGAGGACGGGTTTGTCTCTGCTGAGAGCTGCCGATGGGGCTACAGCCTTTTCTGCAACACAGAGCTATTAATTTTCCACTCCAACCATGAACTCCTCAGAAACTCAAGGCTGGGATAGCCTTTCAAAATGTGCAGGCGGTGGGTTTTCTAATCCTGGACTGGATTATGGACCCTGTAATCTCTACTAGGGAAAGGTGGTGGAGACACCAGCATGGGGACATTGGGTTTTGCTGAGTATTAAGTGAGACCTACTGAAAGAGGTGGTCATGGTAATCAAACAGCAGTACATGAAAAGAAGACTTTCTAACTTCCCTTTGGTCTCTGTTAGATGACATTTATTGTTGGTTGGGCCAAATGGACAGATTATTTCATTAGAATGGCTTCTTGAAAAGGTATATAAGTTTCTCTAAATTAAAAATGTCTACTTTATTTAAGTTTCAAATGTCTTTTTAATTTTTTTAAACAAGATACTATAGACACATCTCGAAATTTATAATCTAAAAATAGGATTTCATCAAAATACTCTTAACTGTTCTATTCTGGGCATTAATATACTATGTATTTACTGTTTATGGCTCTCCAGACCTAAATACTATACCAAAAAAAAAAAAAAAAAAAAGATTTAACTTCATTAATAAGAACAGCTTTCTGTGAAAAGGAAATTATGTGGAAAAAATATGAGCTATGCGTCTGTTTAAAAAGTAACAGCTTGACATGTTTGAGGAACAGTAAGACTCATCACAGAATCAGTAGTGGCACGACAGATATATACAGCCTTAAAGAGACTCATAGACTAAGAAGGAAACAATAGTTATAGACTCACAAATCCTTTCCTTGGCAAAAAGAAAAACCAAAGAAATCCTAAATTCAATAACTTGCTATCGTGCATTGTTGTGAAACCTTGTGCTGGAGATGGGCGAGTACAGCCTGAACCGCCTTGTGGCCTTTCCCTTGGGCTGGGTCCTGTGAAAAGGCTCCAAAATGATCAGACATTGACCTTTTGACCAAGAACCAGCAGGAAACCTTAAACTGCTTATCTGTCTCCTCAGTAGGAAAGCAATGTGTGTTTTGGAGGCAGATAAAGATGATGTTGATTTTATTTGGATTTTTGTAGGAGGGCTAAATGGCATGAATACAGAACACAGAAGACGTGAAGACGGGGGACTTGGGTCGTTAGGTGTTTTGCAGCACAAAGAGAGATGAAGATGGCAATTTGGAGGCAGATTCGGCTGCACAGGTGCCTGGACGTTCCCCGACCCTGTGTTTGTCTTCCTTTAGTTTTGCTGGGCCATGTTGTTTTTCAGGGTGACTAAAAGTTACACACCATCTGTTTGTGTTTTGTTTTCCTTACACAAACTTCAGATGGTGAAGTGTACGTGGGCTTGTCTCAAGACTCTCATTCAGCAGTCAAAAAAGCAGGGTAGAGCGAGCCTAGAGATTGTGCTGGGACGTTCTTCTGAGTGTCAAGCAAGAGCCACATCCTTAGGCTGCACCAGAGTCCTGTGGCCTGGCCTCCTGGTTGGGAGCAGCCTATATGTGGCATGACCTGGCCATGGTGAGTCACCTCGTTTGGATCCCTGTTGGCTTCCAGAGTGGAGCTGCTGTCTTTTCATTCACCCCCAAATCCCCTCTGTCCCCCTTCCTCAAAGTCTGCCTTTTTTCAGCCCCCGGCTTCCCGGCATTCGGCTCACCTCTGATTGTCTCAACATGCCTTCTTCTTTCACTGCCCAGAGCCTGGACCCTCCTCCCCACCGGCCTCCCATCTCTCACCCACTCTGACACACACCTCCAAGGAAAAGCTCTGGCTCCTCAAACTTCTTACTGCATTGAAAACTCTTCTCTTGCTAGAAAGCTTCTCTGCAGAACCTTATCTCTCCTTCCAAGGAGCCCCCTGTTGACTTAATACACTAAGTCCTTTGCCAGCATTTTCCTCCAGAAGTAGATGTTGATATTTTAGTAAAGTTTAGGTTGTTTCTGGAGAGCCAGTGCCTTAGGCAAAATGAATCATGATCATGTAGCCACAATTCGGGCATTGTGGGAATATTCATTATTGGGTAGGTGAGTTCTTTTTAAGTCCCTTGAATCAGACCACGTGGGTGGTGCCTGGCTGAGCCTGTGTGTGGTGTGACCCATCCTGCATCCACCTGCAGTGGTTAAGACTGCTGCTGCTGTGCCAGCGCTGGTCTCCTCACTGTACAAGTGGCATTATTTGGAGCACATTGATATAAAGCAGAAGCACACTTCTTCAAGCAGCATCTCAGAAAGTGAGTGATGTGAGGTTCAGTTCACAAATCTCAGAGAGTAACTGGTTGTGCCTCCATACTTTTAGAAAAGGGCTCCATGGCCGGCCCGGTGGTGCACTGGAGAGTGCACCACTTGGGAGTGTGGCGGCGCTCCCGCCGAGGGTTTGGATCCCATGTGGAGACCGGTTCCCGCTCACTGGCTGAGCGTGGTGCGGGCACAACGCCGAGGGTTGCGATCCCGTTACTGGTCAGTAAAAAAGACAAAAAGGAGAAAAAAAAAAAAAAAAAAGGAAAGAAAAGGGCTCCAGATGTCTGATGGCTGAGAGAGAGTGTTTAAGCTGCAGATCAGCTCTCAACTTTTTTGTTTCTCTGAGTTTCACCTTAGTGATATGTCAAGTTATCAGAAATTAATATAAACTGGCCGCTTGATCTTAGCTTTTGCACTGAATTAAGGTTTCATTTTATATTCTTGATTTTTATGAAAGATTAACAAGTCATCTATTTGCAAAAAATTTTCATGTTTTTCAAAACGTCTTGAGAAGCTGTTTACTACAGTGCCCATTTTCTTTTCTAAAAGAACTCGAGTGATAACTTTGATGATACATTAAATCCCAGGAAAAGTTCCTATTTCCATACTAAAACCTCTACTTCTTCTTCTCTTGTAATGAATAGCTACAACTCAATTTATTCATTTTTGCCCTATTGTTGTGATATATGTATTTATACTTAAATATGTACAGTATGATGTTATGTTTGCTTTCTTGGGGGTGGTTAGCTGGGATTCTAACCAGGAAGCCCACACTCCAGAGGTGGCTACTACTGTACTTTGCTATTTAGCATAATGTTTTTCAGATATAGATTTATTAAACTGGACAAATTAGAGACCTGTTAAAGAGCATGATGAATGTTAGAGATGAGTTCTCAGTGGTAAAATTAAAACAATTCAAGGTGTATAGATGGACTAAAGATATGTTAGAGAAGTGTTTCACTTTTGCATGAATCTGGCAGCTCTGCTCTTAGGAATGGTGCTGGGGGGGGTAAATCCCAAATGGTCCTATGTCCAGCTGTGAACTGGAGGGCTCTGGTTGTCTGATGCCTTCTCTGGAGGTGATAGAATCTTGCCTCTTGCATTGTGACAGCTGCTTTAAGTAATTTTTTTGTCATGCAAGATGGTGATTGCAGAACCTAAAAGAATAGAGAGAGCTGGTAGCTCCTCAAACCTAAAGTAAAGGTTGCTTTGAATTTTTTCATGATTGCTTTCTAATAAAAATTTAGTCAAAAAGTCAGAATTTGGTCTGAGACTTGGTTTCCTTATTACCTGATAAGGAGATTGCACGGTCATAGCTAACCCATATACAACTCAAACTTCAATGAGTAGATCATCTGCCAGAAGAAACTAAGAGCAGTGATTGTCTGAATAGAACAGTCAGTCACTAGGACGTTTAGAGATGGTCTCCTTTTGTCCTGGATCTTAGCTCATTAGTGCTTTGGATAACTGCTCCTTAGCTCTGCTAGAATGGTCTTCATATCTCTGGTCCCATTTTAGGTGTCCTTTAACATCATGCATCTCAAATCCTTTTTGAAGGGAGGTGGTGTAAAGAACCTAACTGAGTAATGAAAACAACAGCGTTCTTATTGGTTTCTGGGGGGGGGGGCATGGCTTTTCTCTTCACTTGTGGCTTGTCTTGAAATGTCACAAACTTGTGCTAGAGAGACCCAAGTGTGTCCCTAGAGAGGCGCTCAGAGGGGAGGGGGATGTGGAGAGGGTGCCTGAAGCTCATTCCTAACTGGCAATGCTTCCGTGCCGCTTTTCAAGGCTGTGACTAAGTACCCCCCCACCCCCCGAATAGAAACTTTTCCTTTGACACTACCAGGAAGAGACGGAGCCACCGCAACAGGACTTGCACCTCTAGGTGTGGTGGACAGGGTTTGGGACAAGCAACCCGGGGAGGAACAGCATGTTCCCAGTTCAAGTCTAGGTGTTCACCCAAACAGTGAACACGCGAGTGTTCCAGGGACACCAAAGGAAAGCGGAATGCAGAGAGCTGAGCGACACACAATGTGGCCCCGCAGACACGCGTCTGCTCCAGATGTTCCTCTCTGGTCATGTAGCAAAGGGGTCCAGTGACTTAGAGAGTCAGTAGAAACTGATCTTGCTCTGGCGGCTTCCGCACCCAGGTGCCCAGACCGGCTTTCTGAAAAGCCCTAAACAGCTGCTGTTTCACAGACTGGTAGGCGTGCGCCCCCCACTTGGCCTCACAGTACATGGAGGGCGTGTCCCCGTGGCTTGGTATCCGCGTGCTCAGCTGTGGACAGGAAGGAGAGAGTGAGTAAGTCGACCGCCAGCAGAGATGGGAGCCTCGCCAGGTGAGAGTTACAAGGAGACATCGGCTCTCGCTCTCAGCCTTTGCTTTTCTTTCTCTTCCTCTGAAACAAGAGGCGCCATGAAGAGCGCTGCAAAGGTACATGTAGCTACCGTGTCCTACCAGGCAGTTCTACGGAAAACCCACTTACTGAGCATACCTTGCTCTATCGGAAGTGTGAATAATTAACAAACAAAATCAACACATAACTTGCTGCTATTAAAATTATAAGCTCTGTGAATTTTTTTTTCTTTGTGGAGGAGGGTTGGGGGCTCAGGATGGGGTGGGGAACCGTGGATGATTGTGGGAGCCAGAACAGCCCTCTGGCAGGCGGGTTGAGTTACACTGTTTGCCCACCAGAAGGATGCTTCCTCCATCAGGTTTCTGAGTTATAACAAGCAAGGCTTTGGAACCAGGCATTCCTAAGGCAGGAATCAAATATGGTTTCAATCCTCCCCTGGCAGGAGGTGAGGAGGGGCAGGGCAGGGCCTCCGAATCACACTGCAGGGTCTTCCAGGGAGAGCCTGGAGTTCAGCATGCCACTTGCGGGCCAAGATGACCTCTAGTGTGCGCAAAAGGAGAGGCCCCCTGTGTGTAGCAAGACAATACTGGTGCCCCCTGACCTCCCCATGTCTTTAGATGTGACACAAGGGAGTGCCCTGGAACAGCCAGGACAGAGACCTCAGCCAGAGCTGCAGGACGCCTGGCCCAGACCCACGTCCACGTGCCACCGTTGGGCAGAGGTGGAAGTGGCTGCACAGCTCATGGCTAGGATGTGTGACCTTCAGTGTCCTTTCAGTTGACAAAAAGTATTTTAGGCATCAGTTTGTCTGTCCTGTCCTACTAATTGGTAATTTGACCACAATACTGTTATTCCTGTTTGGAGCCAACGCCTGGATAAAGAAGTATAGAAAAATCAGCAAAGCACTCTTATTGTTGGCTTGTTTTTCTGTTATCTTTCCTTTTTTTTGTTATAGTCTGGAAGCATGTGAACATGTGTATTTTGATGTATAACCCAGAAATGTAGTTACGATCCATATTTACGGAGGAGAGAGCAGGCTCTGGATTGTTGATGCAGTGGGAAAGTGTAGGCTTTGGGTGGGGAAGAGATTCTGACCCTGACATTCTTCACCTGTGTAATTTGGGGCGTGTATTTTGATGTATAACCCAGAAATGTAGTTACGATCCATATTTACGGAGGAGAGAGTAGGCTCTGGATTGTTGATGCAGTGGGAAGGTGTAGGCTTTGGGTGGGGAAGAGATTCTGACCCTGACATTCTTCACCTGTGTAATTTGGGGGATGTAACCTAACTGCTCTGGTGTCCATTTCCTTACGTCTAAACTAGAAATGATGTCAACCTCAAGTCCAGGCACACTCTTCTCAGGACACCCTGTGTGAAACTGTTGGCACATGTCTGGCCACACTGAGCATTCACCAATAAGCCCCTCTTTCACTTGACTTCCTAGAGCCACTCTTCCTCAACTCCAATGCTGCTGATCTGGGGACCATGCTGGGAGCAGCAGAGTCTTGAGTCTGCAAGGAAAATGCTACTGGCCTGGGCAGGGGGGAAAAGGAAACACCCTGGGAGCTGGCTTTGTGTCTTCGGTTGCCCTCACCACAGACCAAACAATGGTCGCTCCCATGAGCTGGCTCAGGCTTGAGCCTGAGTCCCCCAAGCCAGCTTCTCCCCAAAAAGGACAGTGTGACCTACCCTACCATACAGCCGTGCCCACCGGGCAGAGAACACGTGCTTGCAGAGCCGCGACGAGCCCCCACAGCTCCTCCTCCCCGTGGTCGCATTAATAATCTCCAGGTCCGCGCTGCCCACGACCCAGTTCACGCTGAAGGGGGGGGACTTTCCCGGCTGCCGCACCTCGGCGTTGCTCACTCCTGTCAAAAGAGGAGGGGATGCAGCTAAGCATTAGTATCCCCGCCCCGGCAGGGCTCCCGCCAGAGCAGCTGATGGGAACAAAGTCTGCGTGGGAGCTCACGAGGTGTTCACACTGAACACCTGGTCAGTTTGCGGGGAGGTCACTGTTTTACCTGCAGGGACAGGGGTTGAAATCAAGCATGACCCTGACGTGCCTCACTGAGAGTAACTGCTGGTGTCTGCGTTTAACCCAATGCAAAGGATTTTATGGGCGGTTTTATAATAATAAAGCTCTGCCCAGCTTTTTCCCTTCCTAGAAATATTTGTCGAGGGAATTAATGAACAAGCAAAGCCATGAAGAAGCTACCTAAGAACGCACATTTATTGGGCACCCACTGCGTGCTCATCTCTGTGTGAGTCAAAAGATCCGGGGGATGAACACCACTGACAGACCGTGAGAAAAAAACGAATAAAAACGACATAGGTCTAAGAGTGTGGGTTAGTTAATTAATCAAGCAGTGTGACCAGAAACAGCACAGGCTGCAGGATTTCTGAGATCTGGTGCAAAATGAAAATGTGGGGCTCCCAGTTTGAGAGCTTTCAAGAGTTTTGAGATGACAGAAGAGCATTGACCAAGCACAAGCACAGGTTCCTCTAAGCTCACGTCATGGTGATTGCGCGGGTCACACGCCCACGAGGCTGGTCCTGTCCAGAAAGCATGCGTCTCCCCTTGTCAGACTGTACACTCTGAATTTTAGTGGGGACCCACACTCCTTGAAGCTGTCAGTTCACACATTCCCATCCTGCTCTGCAGCCGGAGGGGGGGACACACTTCGCAGCTTCTCACCGAGGCCCAGCCTCCCCCTGCCCTGCCATCCCATGATGCTCCTCCTCCCAATCAGGACTTCTTGGAGATGCTGGGGCAAAGGTCTGTCACCTGCATTGAGCACCTGCTGGGACCTCCCCATGCTGGGGCTTTGGCCCGAGGACCAACACGCACTAGACTCTGTGCTGCACTGTCTTCTCTGGCCCCTGCCTGTCTTCCTCCCCTCTGAAGACTCCGTTTGCGAATCTGTGACCTTGGGGCACTTGAAGAATAACAGGCTGCAGGAATTTGGAGGCATGGCCCCTGGGGGACCTGACAGATGCGGTCCATGCCCCAGATCTTTGTGGTCACCCCAGGCATGACAGACGTGGCCCCCATAAGTTCTGGGGTCTGCCATATGGCTGGGTCTCTGCTCAGAGCCTCTGGTTCAGCCACCAGTGTGTAGAAGAGGCATCTGTCTCCTGTCTGTTCGCTTGGGTGAGGCTATGGGACACTCAGTTATAGCCCAGAACCCACCTTGTCAGACGAGACACCCACCTGTGCCTCCTGCACCTCTGACCTCCTGCAGCTGTGCCAAGCCCCCCACGATGCTGTCCCCAAACCCATCCAGTTCCCCTTTGTGAGGGCCAGCACCCCCCTCCAGCCCTGCCCCCCTGTCACCTCCATCCTCTCCACCAGCCCAGCAGATGTGCTGCATTTAGGCCACTGGAGAGCTGCTCAGGGGTCACAGTGAAGTGGCCCCGACTGGCGGTGGAGACGCCCAGGTGTCAGGACGCAGTTGAGTGCAGAGAACCAGCTGGCTGGGTGGGGCGTGCTGGCGGGCCAGCAGATTCCCTGAGAGGAGCCGTCCCGCACGTGGCAGCACAGACCTCATCTAAATTCAGGGGAGACCACTCAGCTCTGGGCCACAAAGCCACAGACCCCAGAATCCTCCCGTGGTCCACTCCTTCGCCCACAACCCAGGGGCTTCTTAGACAGAACCAATGCCCACTCCCAGAGCACACCACCCTCTGTGTTTGCATCTGCCACCTACACAGCCAGTTTCCCACACTGACAGTCAGCGGTGACCTTTTCCTGGTCACGGATGGGCAACATCAGCACCTGGGCCATTCCATCCACGTCAGCTCTTTCTCTTTCCTTGAAGTGATGCACAGTGGCAGCTGCCCACCCCCGAGAGCTGGGCAGGGGGACAGTCTGGCCCATTGGCAGCCATGGGCTGTCCTACTGGGCAGGGACCACCCGGGCAGGAGGCAGCAGCTGTGGAGGTCACCGCTCCAGATCTGCCAGCAGCCAGGCCAGGCATGACAGCCCTCCCCCCCCCAGCCCCCCTAGTCTCTGAGGCGGTCAGGACTGACCACAGAGGCGCGGAGCTGGCCTTACGAAGCTCTAAAGAGGACAGTCTCTGGTGCTCGTGCAGACATGGGGCCTCTTGCTCCCTGCAGCGCCTCCTCCCTCTGCCTGCCTCCTCTCGGGTGTGGGAAGTGTGTGTGAGTGTGTGTGTGTGTTTGTGTGTGTGTGAGTGTGAGTGTGAGAGTGTGTGTGTGTGACTGTGTGTGTGAGATTGTGTGTGTGAGCGTGTGATTGTGGTTGAGTGTGTGTGTGTTTGTGTGTGTGTGAGTGTGATTGTGGTTGAGTGTGTTTGTGTGTGTTTGTGTAAGTGTGAGTGAGAGTGTGTGAGTGTGTTTGTGTTTGTGTGCGAGTGTATGTGTGAGTGTGTGTGATTGTGGTTGAGTGTGTTTGTGTAAGTGTGAGTGAGAGTGTGTGAGTGTGTTTGTGTAAGTGTGAGTGAGAGTGTGTGAGTGTGTTTGTGTTTGTGTGCGAGTGTATGTGTTAGTGTGTTTGTGTGTGTTTGAGTGTGTTTGTGAGTGTGTGTGTGTGAGTGTGTGTCTGAGTGTGCATGTGAGTGCATGTGTTTGTGTGCGAGTGTGTGTCTGAGTGTGTGCATGTGAGTGCATGTGTTTGAGTGTGTGCATGTGAGTGCATGTGTTTGAGTGTGTGCATGTGTGTGTGTGTGCATGCATGTGTTTGTGTGTGTGTGAGTGTTTGTGTGTGTCTGAGTGTGTGTGTTTGTGTGTGAATGTGTTTGTGTGTGTGCGCGAGTGTGTGTTTGTGTGTGAGTGTGCGTGTGTGTGTATGTGCATGTGTGAGTGTGTGCATGTGTGTGTGTGAGTGTGTGTGTGTGTGTGTGTGCGTGTGGATTGGGAAACAGCTTATGTTATAAATAATACCTGACACTTGATCATGTAAGTCACATTATAGCTGCCCTATAGATGACTAAAGTACGAAGTGAGGCCGTGACACAGCAACAGCCTTCAGTGTCACTGAGCTTTTCCGGGACCCTAGGGTGGACGACTCAAGGCTGGAGACCCAGGCCTCTTCAGGTTGAGGCAGGAACCAGGATGCTGGAGTCCCAGTGTCTTCCTGCGGGACCTTGGCAGATGGCTGCTGTCATCCTCACTTTGCAACCTGTGTGATCAGTCCTGTGCTTTGCAAGGTGATGTGAAGGTCGCATGGGATGGGCGGGGGCACTTTCGAAGCCTTAGTGCGATGATGACTGCTGTGTCCATCTGAGGGAGGACCTGCAGGCCGACTGCAGCTTGTCCAGTGCTCTTCAATTGTACAAAGTGTTTGCAGTGAGAACCAAAGATTTCCAGTTTACTTATAATCACCTAAGTGTGTCCAGGGAATGGGGCAACTAGCCCACCGGCAAAGGTCAGAGTTCCTTTCATGTTAAACATGTTCTGTGTCATTTATATGTCTGTTCATCATACGACCTTCATGCCTCTGCTGGAGACACATTGTCCACTGATACTTGAGCTTCTAGTTTAAGGATTATTTCCTCTCTCTCTTCTGCTTGCAAGAAAAACACTTCCCATTAGAGTGGAAGAATGCCAGTTCTCTTTTCTTTTTCTCAAAATAAATTGACCTTCATGCCTCTGCTGGAGACACATTGTCCACTGATACTTGAGCTTCTAGTTTAAGGATTATTTCCTCTCTCTCTTCTGCTTGCAGGAAAAACACTTCCCATTAGAGTGGAAGAATGCCAGTTCTCTTTTCTTTTTCTCAAAATAAATCTCCCATATGGAGACAGCACTTGGAATATTTACAAAGTATTCATGCCAGTAGTACAATTTTTGACATCACTGTAATTAATGACCGTAGCCAGTGATACCCGAGGAGACAGAACCACGTGTGCTGGACTCACTCAAGTCTAGTGTGCAAATCCACCAGCATGCAGTGAAACGTGGGATGACCTCACGGTCTAAACAGCGCATTCTCTTTCTGCAGGACGGGTCTGCAGGGAGGGACACAGTGTGGCCGGGAGGCCTCCTGATCCCTGTGATGGATGAGGAATGTCAGTTTTCTCACTCAGATGCTGCCCAGCACCAGCCTGCCTCTTTCCAGAGTGGGTTGAGGCTCTGGGCCCGACCTCTTGTCCTAGGCATCATGAAAAGACCGCTTTTATCTGATTTTCCATTTTCCTGTCTCAGGACGATTCTCTCCGTTTCCCCTCCTCTCGAATCGTGTTCACACGGACCATCCCTGAGTGTGAGCTGGTGTTCTGGAGCTCTATTAACAGGTTGGTTAGGTTAGTCCAGTTCATTCTCTTATTTATTTTGGCCTGGGGAGACATTTGGCTTCTAAGGAAGCTTATGCACATTTTTGAATGATCTCACCCATTATATATTGATTTTATCATTTTAAATCAATTCCCAGGTGCCCACAAACACATGTAGAGGATATTCCAAGAGCTTATTTATTCCGTTGCTCATGCCGTGTTCATGCAGCATCTTCCCGGCCACAGAGGATTGAGCTTTTCAAAGTGTTTAGAGAGCATTAGGGATGAAACTGCTTAACCCCATGCTAAATCATATTGTTAATGATAGTTTTAGATAGTGCTGGCACAGACGAAGACATGCCTGCTTAAGCCTAGAAACAAAAGTCTGGCTTGTGTTTAATATTTTCCTCTCTATGGCTAGGAGTTGTGGAAAGGCATAAATTCCTGGGGTCATTCTTCCCAAACTGGACATCAACTGGATTTAAGATGAAAACCAAGTCACAAAGACACAATGTATCTATAGTCACAGGAATACCCTGCTAAGACCTATTCCCATGATGTTCCTCAAGAGAATATGTTAGCACACACCTGGTGATCCAATCCTCTCAGAAAATATCATATTTCCTCCTTTCCCCTATTTACAGCATTAAATGCCTCCTGGAGATTATTCTGAAATCTCCATCCAGTGAAATATGCCAACAGAGCAGAATCTGCTAGTTGACATGGGCCTCCATCCTCATTAAGATCAGGGGAGGGAGCTTTCGTGGTCTGAACATGGAACAAGTGACCACTGGGTCAGCTGTGCTCCAAGAGGAAAGGAGTGTCCTCGAGAGTCAGCACTCAGAAATGCAGCACTGTGTGCAAACCACAGACACGCACGTACTCGGACGCTGGGGTCCTCTGCAGACCACCTTACCAAAGGTTCTGTGAACCTGCTCCATGACAGCCAGAAACTAAAACAAATCAGAATAACACTAAGCCACTAGGAACATGGGGGAGCTTTTGCCTTTAATGAACGGCAACAGGAGAACAGCACTGTACATTTTAACCTGGTTTCCTTATGTAGAGAAACTTGTTCTTTAACAATGTAGTACTGTGTTTTCTGTGGCTGCTGTAACAGATTGCTACAAATGCGGTGGCTTAAAACAATGGAAATCTATCCTCTCCAAGCTCTGGCGGCCAGACGTGTGAAATCAAGGTGTTGGCAGGGCTGCGCTTCCTCTGGAGACTGTGGCAGGGAATCCCTCCTTGACTGTTCCAGCTTCTGGTGGCTCACGTGTTCCTGGGCTTGTAGCCGCATCGCTCCAACCTCTGCCTCTGTCTTCAAACGGCCCTCTCTGTGTGTGTAAATCTCCACCCATCTCCCTTTCATGAGAACAGCTGTCATTGCATGTAGGACCCTTTGAGACAATTCAGATCATTTCCCCAGCTCATGATCCTTAATTTAACCACAACTGCAAAGACCCTTTCTTCAAATAAGGTAATTTTACAGGTTCCTGGGATTAGGATTTGATATCTTTGGGGGCCATTATTCAGCCCCCTATGAGCACTAACTTTGAATTTGGGAACTGGTCTATGAACCAAGTGAAGACTCTTTTTGGAGAAGGAGCAATCCCACACCCTGGGTACCACTTTCTGGCAGAATGATGACTTGCAGGTGAAGAGCTCACGGCCGCTTCTCTGTGCATCCATTTCCCTTCCCTCTGCACCTGTCTGCGGTGTGATGTGGACCATTGAGCCTCACTGTTAGGAAGGCCGGCACCTGGCGCTGTGGTGCAGCTACCCAGGAGGACAGCTCTTGAGCTGAAGAGCCGGTTGTGCAGACGACCAGCAGAAGCACATGTGGCATGCACACGCCCCTGCCTGAGTGGGACAGCCTCAATCGGGTAGGATCTCGGACATGGGAACTTGTGCAGAAAGCCCAGGAAAGGGTGAAGGGGAGAAACATGTCTCTGGAAAACTGTGTTACCTGGTGAAGAGTAGGACCTAGTGCCATTTTTTCTTTGGTAATTATTCCCGAGGGGTCTTGGATATAACCTTGCCTACCTAAACAGTTTCTCTATCAGAGTAGTGTCGAATGCAAACAGTGCTAATAAAAGTTTGTTAAACCTCATACCTAACACAGAGATATGCTGGCATTTATTAATCTGTAAATATACCACACAACATGTGGGTTCTTCTTTTATGACAATTTCTAGAGAGGTATCTTATTTCAAAGCAGATCTGTATGAGAATAAGCTGGTTTCCAGCAGCCTTTGATGTGAATATTCTGCCAGGCTGGCTAATACAGAGAGGTCGGCTTGATGCTGTAAATATACCACACAACATGTGGGTTCTTCTTTTATGACAATTTCTAGAGAGGTATCTTATTTCAAAGCAGATCTGTATGAGAATAAGCTGGTCTCCAGCAGCCTTTGATGTGAATATTCTGCCAGGCTGGCTAATACAGAGAGGTCGGCTTGATGAGATCGTATGACCTTTCGTCTCACTGCACACAGCCGAAGTAATAGGGTGGGCTCCAGAAATGGGCCAGGGTTGAACATCGCTTCTGTGGCTTGCTAGCAGCATGACCTCTGATAAGTTAATTAACCTACTACTGCTACCACCACCACTTCCACTACTACCACCATCACCACGACCACTGCTGTTACTAACACCATTATTTAAGAGCAGTGAGAGTGATCCATGATTCATCTGCAAAAATGAGTTCTATTATGGCTCACATAGCTATAAAAAGATGCCTTACTTTAAGAAAATCCTTGTTTACCTTTTTAAAAAAGGTATTATATAAGTGAGACATCACAGCATTTCTTTAAATAGCTAGTGGGCCTACTATACTTAAAATGCCATTCATTTTCCCAAAACTAAATTTACACAAGACATTTCAGAGATATAATTTTTACATGAAGTGAGGCAAGTCTACATTACAGGGTAACGTTATGTTTAATTTAGTGAAATGATAGAAGCAGCATGCTTCTAGGCATGCACAGAATCATAAAGTTGCAGGAACAGAAGGAACCTCTTGAGTTTTNCCGCCGCGCTTCCCAAGCGGCGCACTATCCAGTGCACCACCAGGCCGGCCCAAGAAAATCCTTGTTTACCTTTTTAAAAAAGGTATTATATAAGTGAGACATCACAGCATTTCTTTAAATAGCTAGTGGGCCTACTATACTTAAAATGCCATTCATTTTCCCAAAACTAAATTTACACAAGACATTTCAGAGATATAATTTTTACATGAAGTGAGGCAAGTCTACATTACAGGGTAACGTTATGTTTAATTTAGTGAAATGATAGAAGCAGCATGCTTCTAGGCATGCACAGAATCATAAAGTTGCAGGAACAGAAGGAACCTCTTGAGTTTTATGTACTGCCAGGTACCCTGTGGGCTTCTGCACACGTGTGCATGTGTGTGCACACACATCTAATGGAAGTAGAGCTGGTAAATATAAGGTGGACTTACAGATGTGGGTAACTGACCACTAAGGCTGTATTAGTGCCATTTTATTCATTATCATTAACATGAACATCATTATAATTGCCAGTAATTTTGTAGCTACTGTCTTGACTTAACAGAGCATACTCAGTGGAAAATATGGGAAATGTGCAAAGCAGTCTGGAGACAGCATTAGAACTGAGGGGTGGATGATTTGTTCTTTCTGCTGTGAGATAGCCTCAGCAAGCTCTCTGGGGGCCTGCTAGCCAAAGGGGTATATACCATATTTTTACAAAAACAGGCCGTTACAGCTTTTCCCCTTGCCTTTCTTCATTCGACTGTTTGGATGAGGTGGTAGCTGGGGTGGTGGGAGGTGGGTGTTTACAGCACGTGTCCACACCATTCATTAAGTTTGTGTGAGAGTCTGCTGGTGGTGGCAGCTGTGTCACCAGACATCTTCTTAGGAGAGTGGATGCCTCCCCTGATTTTCAGGGACTTTGTTCTGAGAGTCAACAGGAATGTGACCTTCTTCGTGAGGACAAATGACTGTGGTCTGTGTTCCACACAGTCTGCAATGCACGGGCTCACAGGATGCTTCCAAAGATGTGAAATTTCTGTGGCAGGAGGAAACAATTTTTATTTCTAACCTGATAATGGCATGATTCTTGGCTTCTGTAACAATTGTCGTTATTTCAAAATATGTGGAACAAAGGGACTTTAACAGAATATGGTTGTTTGTTGTCCCAAATATACATTTTTCACTGCTGTTGTATCCAGAATGTAATAATATGCTGTTTCAAACTGAATAAAAATGTGGATGCTTTCTATTGGTCTTTATTCTGCATTATCCATTTGGGATTATTTTTCTCATGCCCAGGTAACACATTTAGTGTTCCCTTCACCGTGAATCTGCTGAGCTGGGCCATCTCAGTGTTTCCTTGGAAATGTTCTCTCACTCTCATTTCGAAGGACTCTTTTGCTGGATATAAGTTTTTAAGTTGAGATGAATTTGCAGTCAGCATTGTATAGATGCCATTCCACTCAGTTTTGTCTTCTAAGAATCAGCTCCCAGTCTGATTTAGCTCATTTGAAGTTAAATTGACTTTTTTTTTTAATTTTATGGCTGCTTTTAAGATTTTCTTTTTGACTTTGTTTTTCAGCAGTTTTACTGCTGAGGATTTAAAAAATTCCTTCTTGGGGTATAATTTGCTATTTGGATCTCTACCTAGATGCTTTTCATTTTTCTTGGAAAGTTCTTAGTTATGATCTCTGTAAATATTGCTCCTGCTCCATGTCTTATCTCTTCTTCTGGAACTCCTGTTACACATGTGTTGGACCTCCCCACGCTGTCTCTTACTGCTCTTTTGTATTTTCCCCATGTGATGCATAGTTTTGTGTGTCCACTTGGCTAGGCTCTAGTGCCCAGTTGCTCCATCAACCACTTGCCTAGCTGTTGCAGTGAGGGCATTTTTAGCTGTGATTATGTTTAATTTAGAATCTTTGAGTAGAGCAGATTACTCCTCATAATGTGCGTGGACCTCATCCAATCAGTCGAAAGCCTTAGGAGCAAAAACTGAGGTCCCTTGAAGAAAAGCTTCTGCCTCCAGACAGCCTTTGGATTCAAGACCATCTTCCATTCTGTCTAGAATTTCAGCCTGCTGGCCTGCCCTGCTTATTTTATTTTATTTATTTATTTTTTTATTGAATCATGATTGATTGTACATATTTTTAGGATTCAGTGTTGACATAAGTTGGTCAAATCAACATTACTAGTATGTATATTGTTACAAATTGTACTTATTCTTTATGGCCCTTGTCTAATCTCTCCCCATTCCCCTCTCCCTCTCCCTCTCCCCTCTAATTACCCTAGATTTCTTCTCTCCTTCTGCAAGAGTAATGGTTACTCTGTTGATTTGTTACCTAGATGATCTGTCCAATGCTGAGAGGTATGGTCAGGTCCCCCAATATTGTCATAGAGCAGATGCTTCTTTTGTCACTGTGGAATGGGCTTTGTGGAGAGAGACATCCTCTTCTTTTCTTTGGTCTCTGTTGGTGGCTCTCCTTGTGCCAATGCACTCCAGTGGCTGGTGGACCATCTGTGTAGTGCTTGTGACATCTAGCCACTTTTGAAGCAGTCGTGGTTATTGTGGTGGGCCACATACATGGAGGTGATGTTTTTGGCATGCTCCTTGGTGCTGGTGGTGTGCCTGGTTGTGGGGGTAGTCCAGTCCGTGGCTCTATGCCTCAGGCATGAAGGTGGAGCCCTGAGGAGCCATTGGTGTGCCTGGTTGTGGGCGGGGGTTCCAGTCCCCGGTTCCAAGCCTCAGGTCCTCGGGCAGGCCCCAAGGTGCTGGTGATGTGCCTGGTTATGGGAGGGTGGTCTGGTCCCTAACTCCATGCCTCAGATCCCCTGAGCCAGAACTAATTTTTTGTCCTTTGCTTACTTCTAAAATGGGGGAAATTCCTGTGGGTACCAGTACTTGAGCTAAATTGCTGCTTTGCTGCTGTTTCCTTAGGGAAGGCTTTTTGTGTAGCTCAGGGTTTAATGGTGGACCTTATTGGTACTTCCAGCTCCCCAGAGACCTGGTGCACCTGGGTTGTGTAGAAACTCTGATCTGGGCCTGTGTTTTTTCATCAAACTGCACCCCACACAATTCTGCATTCCTGACCAGTCTTCTCTGAGTGGTCTTGTGCTGATTGGGGGATGAGTCAGCTGTCCTTGCTGTGTTCCAGTGTTCTCCTGGTGGGCCCATCTCCCCCACTGCCCATGCTCCAAACAGTTCCCATGGGACAGGTCCTATGCCAGTCCCTTGTGATGACTCACCAGCTTCTGAGTGGCTCCCCTTTTTCAGCTGTTCTGCCTC